AGTACAGAACATTTCTTAACATTTGAAAGTCAAATGAAAGGGAAATCTGAAACAACAAAATCTTTTTTTTTTTTTTTTTGGTCTTTTTGAAACAGGGTCTCCCTGTAGCCCCAGCTGGCCTGGAACTCACTATGTAGACCAGGCTGGCCTTGAACTCAGAGATCCACCTGCCTCTGCCTCCCAGGTGCTGGGACTACAGCTGTGCACCACTACGTCTGGCTACAAAACCTATCTTATCACACTACTGGGTGAGGTTCATGTTGTAAGGCAGAACTTTCTGGAATCTTCCAGGATAGGAGAGGGGATGAGGATCCATTCCCAAGGTCTTCTTCTGCCCACTTTGGTCACTGTGGTGGTTTGTATGAGAATGTCCCCCATAGGCTCCAAGTATTCAGACATTTTGTCACCACTTAATGGCACTGTTTTTGGAGGAAGCATGTCACTGAAAGTGGGCTTACAAGTCAGATCTCCAGTCACTCCCTGCTTTCTGACCCTGCTTGAAGATGTGAGAGCTTAGCTTCCGCTCCTCCTCCAGCCACCTCTGCTGCCGTGCCTCCTAGCCATGATGGACTCTTGCCCCTTTGGAACCATAAGCTAAATAAACTCTTCCTTTTGTAAATTCCCTTGGTCACAGTGTTTTATCACAGAACAGAAAAGTAACTAAGACAAGCACCATCCTGTTGCTTAAGTAAATACTTGGAGCCTCGGACTGGAGAAGACTGAGGAAGAAAGAAATCAACAACACCCACCCGCTCAGATGTGGGGACTGTCAGCACTCAGAATGTTTACCTTGTCCTTCCTCCTCAGTATGCTGCAGTCTCATGCAACTGTAGCTACAGTATGGACACAATTCTGTACTCTGCTTGCTCATCTGAAATTATTCTGCAGATCACCAATCCATCTTGCAATATAATCTGCATATCTACGATGCCATTGCTGCATAATCTCCTTCAAGTGGACTGTGACTTTCCTAAGTCTCTGCTAACAAATTTTATTTTTTGATAACATTCTAAATAACATTTGGCCTTAGTTTTTTTAAATAAAAAGATTTTATTTTACTTTTAATTATGTGTGTATGTGTTTCAGTGTATGGGTATATGCATGTGCATGCAGGTGTCTGTGGAGGCCAGAAGAGGATGGAGTTGGTAATCGTGAGCCACCCAATGTGGGTATTGGGAACAAGAATCCTCAGGAAGAATAGTATGGTCTTGAGCCCTGTGCCATCCCACCAGCCCCTGGCTTTAACATTTTATAGGGTTGGTCTTAGATTCTGTGACTAGACAGCACACAGATTGAGCGTGCTGTCCATGGGTCGGCAAGCCCTGATTGGGTCTCTAGTTCCAACATCAGCATTCATTATTACCCTTTCACTCTCTAACAGTAACCAGACAACTTGCAGAATACCCGCATCTCAGTCTTCTGTTATGATAATGAAATTCCTAAGGCTAGATCATTTATAAAGAAAAGAGTTTTCTTTGGCACACGGTTTTGGAAGTTGAAAGTCCAAACAGCATGACATCAGTTCTTTCAAGGGCCCTGTTTGGCTCTGTCACATCATAGCAGATGGCCTTCTTGTGGGAACACTTATAAAGGAAGATCAGAAGGCCAAATAACAACCTCCCATTAAGCCCATCTCTTAAGAAACCCACCACTCCTAACTTTGCAAGGGTTCCAACTCCTGAACCCTTGGGCGATACACTTAAACCATATCCACATGAAGCAATCCCTCTGGCCATAAGTCCACTCACAAGCAGATGCATACAGACAGCTGCCTGAGGCTTTGGCTAACCCAGGCCCCAAATGCATGCAGCAACATTCCTGCTCCAGGAGGATGGGCTCATTCCTTCCCAAATCTCTCTAAGTCTCAGCCCAAGTCAGGTGGTTCTCAGGTCATGGGAATCTCACTCAGCAGGGCATTCTAATCTCCCTGGCTTGGGCTGAGGCCACACTTGGTCTGAGACACAGCAAGCACAGAGGCCTGGGGGCAGTGTCCCTATGGTGTGAATACCAACTGAGCACCTCTACAACACACATGTAATGGGGCCAGTAACTGGGCCTCTTTAGAACTCAGGCTTTTCACCAATAAAATGGGTCTGACAGAACTTGAAAGGGCATCCACGGAAGTTAAATCATAAGACATGGGCTGTGTGATGAGTAATCTTGTCAACTTGGTAAGGTCTAGAATCATCATGGAAACATACCATTGAGTGTATGTCTACCAGTGTTTCCAGAAAGGTTTAACTGATCAGGGAAGACTCACCCTGACTGTGGGCCACACCGCGGTGGACTTGGGTACCTTAACTGAATAAGGAGGGAGAAAGGAGGAAGCAGCTCCTCTCTCTCTGCTTTCTGGGTGCAGATATAATGTGACCAACCACCTCAAGCTCCTTCCACCATGCCTTCCCCACCATGATGGACTGTACCCTAAAACTGTGAGCCAAAGTGAATGCTTCCTTAAGTTGCTTTTGTTAGGTATTTTGTGGAAACAAAGAGAAAAGTAGCCAGGACAGATGCTAGCCTCTTGGCCAGTTTTCCACCTTAACATGCAGCCACCAGCTTAAAGGAGCTCTCAGGATTTTGCAGGCAGACACTTCTTCCCTCTTGCCCTACCTTGGTAATAATAATTAATATTAATAAATAAATAAATAAATAAATAAATAAATAAATAAATAAATGCTGGATGAGGTAACACATGCTTTTGACTCCAACACTCTGGAAGCAGGGGTAGGCAGATCTCTGTGAGACTGAGGCCAGCCTGGTCCAGATAGT